AGGGGGGGTGGGGTACCTCCATGTGAAATTGGTCCCAACTATGTCGATTGATGAGGTTATAATGTAGGGGCAATGGGACCATATACTACATTTTATGTTATTAGTAGCCTGTTTGGCCAAGCTTCTTTTTTGCCAAAAGTGTTTTTTTTTTTTTTGCCAAAAGCACTTTTGGCTAAAAATTGAGGTGTTTGGTCAAGCTTTTGGAAGGAAAAAAAGTGCTTTTGAGGAGAAGCAGAAGCAGTTTTGGAGAGAGCAGAAAAAATAGCTTCTCTTCCAAAAGCACTTTTTTGAGAAGCACTTTTGAGAAAATACACTTAGAAGCAGTTTTTAAAGCTTGGCCAAACACTAATTGCTGCTCAGAAGTGCTTTTCAAACTAATTAGCCAAACACAAACTGCTTCTCACCAAAAGTACTTTTGAGAAAAGCACTTTTAAAAAAAAAAAGCACTTCTCAAAATAAGCTGATTTTTGCAGCTTGGCCAAACGGGCTATAAATTTTTATTGGCATGCAAAAGCAACAATTGTTTATAATAAACTTAATATAATAACTTAAAAAATATAAGAAATCAATTAAGTTGGATTAATGAAAAAATTTAGCGTTATCAATATATACTTCCTCCGGTCAAAATAAGTGATTTTTTTGCCCTTTTTTTTTGTGGTCCAAAATAAGTGGTTTTTCCAGATTTCAAGAATGAATTAATTATTTTTTTCTACATTTTCCTTGGAGTAAATAGTGTTGGGTATGTGTTAGGAGTATTTATGTGAAGAGATAGTAAAGGTTAATATGGTCAATTTCATTACTAATTAATGTTAAAAAGTGAATTTCTTAATCTGTGTGAAAACAGCTAAAAAATCACTTATTTTGGACCAGATGGAGTATAACTTAAATCATAAGTACAATTAACAAAAAAAAAAAAGAGTAAAGAATGTCCACATGTCAAAGATGGACAAGAGGGCTATGAGATTCCAAGTTTTAGAGATCAGAATTAAATATGAATTTCTATGTAATTTAAAAATTAAAAAATCATGACAAGTACCATCTGTGTACTAGAGAATTTAATAAGAATTGCGGATTCAAATGAATCATACACATGTGAATTTTTTTAAACTCAAATTAATCAAATCAGATTCGGACCTTTATCATTTGAAGAATTACACCGTATATATAAGATCAACTTTTATATTTATGCATATATAATAACAATTATAATAATAATAATAATAAATAAAAAAAAGTATTGTTCAAATCAAGCTAGCTTCGATTTGAACCAAACATGGGACACACGTGTGATGTAACTTATTAAATGTTGATGGTGAAATGTGGGCCTCACCACACGTGTAGTTGAGTTTTTGGACTTCTATGTACTTGCATTCTTGTCTGTGGGTGTGGGTTTTGTTTGGGCCAACCCATGGCCCATTATCATGCGCTTATGTTCCTTATACAGTTAATTCCCTATGGGCCCAAAACCCTCCAAACCTACCCCACCACCTTAAGAATTATATGCATGAGTATGTCTAGCACACAGAGGCGGATTTACACTATAGCTTGAGGGGTTGCCGGCATCTGGAAACTTCGGCAGAAACTCCATATATACATACAAATTTCTTTCAAAAATAGTTAGATATTAGCATAGGCCTCCGTACCAATCTATATGAGCAGTAATAAATTTATATTGAACGTTATAGTGCCCCCGCTGTCGTTGAATCTTGGGTCTGCCTCTGTTGGCACAATATGATGAAAATTGTAAGTTGTGTTCAGACAGTGGCCGATCCACCTTTGGAGATATGGGTGCTGAAGCACCCATTGGCTTTGGCCAAATTATGTAATATATTCATAAATAATATGTAAAAACTTCAATAACTGACCAGGAGCACCCACTATGATCACGTTTGGCCATCTAGAATTTAAACTAAAATTAGTGAAGCACCCACGACCTATAAATCTTGAATCCGCCACTGTGTTCAGAGGGTCAAGGAAAACGTACGTAGCAGCAAGGATGGTGCATCGCCCATGAATTATTACTTCAATTTCGAAGGCAAGATGCAATTTTTCTTTGACTAAATATTAAAGGAAATAGAATAATTGAAGTTGCCCGTGGACGTTGATTTTGACCCATAAATGTTTTTACACTATCAAGTCACTCGAAACTCAAATAATACGTGACTACTTATATATAATAAATTGGATTCATTACCGGAAAAGGGTATATTTAAACCAATAGTATTACTGTAGGAATATATTTGGACCTAAAGTATAACAAGGGATATATTTAAACATATTTTCATAGTACAAGGATATATTTGACCCAACACGTATATTAAATGATGAATTTCGTTGGTTTCTTTGTTTTTTTTTTTTTTGAATTCTCTTAATGAGAATTATGTCACGTCACAAATATTACTCAAAGAGAGCTACAAGTAATAGAATATGTCCATTCTTCACCTAGTCACACAGTACATCTTTCTTCTTCATATGTTTTGTTTTATTTTAGCTTTTATAGTATAGAGATGTGGTTTGTTTAAGTGTCACGACCCTAAAACGGACCCGGTCGTGATGGCGCCTATCGAGAAATTAGGCCAGTCGATACAAAACCCCAAAACCAACCAGACATTTATAATAAGTCATTTAAAGCCATTAATTAGCTAAAATCCCGTAATATAAGTTAAAATGAACATTGCGGAAACAAAACACAGCCCGACATCGGGGTGTCAGCAGTCATGAGCAACTACAACTCGTCTAGGAATAAGAAAAAGACAACATAGTCTGAAAACAAATGCTAATACAAAGCTGAATAAGATAGGAAGGAGAAGCACTGGGCTGCGAATGCCAAACAGCTACCTAGTCAACTCCGGAAAACCTGCTGGATGACTGCTTAGCACTCGTTATCGCGACCCGGGACTCCTGGATCTGCACACAAAGTGCAGGGAGTAATGTGAGTACGCCAACTTAGTAAGTAATAAAAGTAAAGGCAGTTGAGCAGTAAGAAAACACGTAAACCACGTCATAACGCTACATCAAAATAGTATAAGTCCAGAACAATGCAGTAAAGCAATAAAACTCGTAAACAACTCAGATCACTAAAATCTTTTAAAACATCTTTCAGTAGTTTCAACGAGTGATGAAAACAGTGAGTAAAAGGATAGAAACGTAAACAGCCCTTCGGGCAAAACATGTACCACAACCGCCCCTCGGGAAAAATATCAACAGATCCAGCCCCTCGGGCTACCTCACAATCACTCGTAATCAGCCCCTCGGGCGATAACATGAAACAACAACAGCCCCTCGGACAATATCACATCTCACACTGGGTACCCACGCTCAGTGGGGGTGTTCAGACTCCGGAGGGGCTCCTACAGTCCAAGCGCTATCACAAGCCATCTCGTGGCATAACAAATCAGTCCCTCGGCCTCTCATATATCACAAATCAGTGTAACACGCTGCGGTGCGCAACCCGATCCCATAACATCCTCACAACACAGGCCCTCGGCCTCACTCAGTCAGAATCTCTCAAGCCCCTCGGGCAACAGTAAAACATGATGCTCAGCCCAAAATATCATTTAAAATATTAAAACGGAGTAAATACGGCTGAGTTATGAAAACAGTAGAATACAGCATGGCTGAGTACAAATATGAAGTCAAAACAGTGAGGAATAATAGTGAAAAGCCCCTAAGGGTCCAAAACAGTTGGCACGAGGCCCAAACACGGCATTCATCCCCAAACATAGTAATACTTTCCAAAATATAGTAATATCAAACAGTTTCCAATTCAATACGCGACTTAACAGTCGTATGCTACGGACTAAGTCACAATCCCCAAACGGTGCACGACCC